AGAATAGTATGGGAATGCAGCATATGCAAAGTTGCACTCTGTTTGAAAAAAAAAAAAAAAAACTTTTTCCACGAGTACCACAGAGACTGATTTGTAGAGATGTGTTCTGTAGATGGTGGTCACTGACACTAACCACTAGAAGTGTTTATGGTTAATCTTTGGATTATGGTAACTTGGCGATTTCTTGGCGACCAACTCTGCTACAGCAACCCTCTATTTTTTTTTCGCCGCCATTTTGTCTTCACGAAGTAAAGACATGTTTCTTTTCTTTTTATTTAGTCAACACTTCTTCCAACAATCTGCTAGCCAAAGTACACTTATGCTAGAAATTTTATGAAACAAAACTGCTTAATCATGACAAATATTAACTGCAAAATTGGGGAAAAGTGCAGAATCACAAACTCCTTGCCGCATTTTTCAGAATCGCACATACACAGTAACCATGTATATGTCGACTTATTTTTACTTAAAAAAACATCCCAGAATTGCACAAAAATGGCATTGCGCACACTCTTAACTTTATCCATCTACACTGCTATTTTCTCATAAATTAAAAAAATTTGCACGAAAACGCAGGAAAATTTTGTGAATCTTTAAATTCGGTAAAAAGGACATATATGAAATTACCTGATCGCGAAAAAGTATATACCCTTTCCAAGGATAAACATTTGCACGTATAATATAAATAAAATATCCAAAAACTTTTACATCTAAATTATCTATTATAAACGTCACCAACGAATTTATAACGCAAACATTAAAAATGGGAACTACTCTGATATGCGCCCTCAAGTTGCCAAATTTCTCGCCAAATATTTTTGGCAAGAAACTTCACGCTGCCATATTACTATCTCAATTTTTTGTCTACATTTTGAACTTTTAGCATAAAATGTCTCCAAAAACACAGTTTTCGCACATGCAAAAACTACGTTTTGAACACACAATTTAGCTAAAAATCCGAAACAAAAACAAAAAATTTAGATAGCAAAAACGTAAAGTTTCTAACCAAAAATATTTGACAAGAATCCATGTACACAGCGACATGTTTAACTTAAAAAAACATCTACGAATTACACAATGTGCAACAAACGAATCTACCAACTACGCAGACTCTCGTTTAAATAATTAACATCACAATAAATTTCAAAGAATACCATGTACACAGCATCCTGTTTAAACTTAAAAAAAATTCTACGAATTGCACAATTTAGGCAAGGAAGGAATCTACGATCTACGCACTCCTCGCTTTAATAAAATACATAACCATAAATTTTCAAATAATACCATGTACACAGCGTTCTGTTCAACTTTAAAAAACATCTACGAATGTACAGTCTAGAACACTAAACACAAATAAACTAAAATAATTTCAAACAATTTTAAAAAAAAACATAACGACAGAAATTCATACTACAGAACCAATGAACATAACATTCTACAAAATAAGAACAAGGATAAAATAAAATGCACTTACCATGAATTAATGCGTTTCGAATAGCAGAAATATAAATTTCATACCGCCTTTAACATGCCGCCACGTAATCACTATCGTATTTACATGACAGCCAGACACCATCCAGAAAATTTATACTATGGTTCACAAATAAATAAAATCACAAATCCCTACTTCTATCATGCACTGCCATTAAAATAATCTCCCAGACCCTCTTTCCACAGTTCCAAATACCCACTACCTCTCAACAGGATAGCCACAATCATATTTCCTTTTGCCGAACTTCAATTCAACAACTACCATTTTATCTTTCTCTCCCATCTTCTCAGACACAGAGGCGAACCAACCAGCTCCAGCGAAAGATTTTTCAACGTCAACAGGGTTGCCATAGAACACGCAAACGCGCCAAAAACCAGCGCAGAACACATATCACCACATTTGGTGAAATTAGGGCGTATATTAGAGTTGTACCTAAAAATGGTTACAAATACTTAGTGTCAAATATTTAAATTATTCCATGCACATTTACTTCCACTGAAACGTATACCAATTGCTACAACATATAATTCAAAAATACCTATCATTTAATTAAAATATAGTTAACCATGTACACACGTCGACTTATTTTTACTTAAAAAAAAATCCCACCCAGAATTGCACAAAAATGGCATTGCGCACACTCTTCACTATATCCATGTACACTGCTTTTTCTCATAAATTAGAAAATTTCACGAAAATGCATGAAAATTTTGTGAATCTTTAAATTCGGTAAAAGCACATATATGAAATTACCTGATCGCGAAAAAGTATATATACCCTTTCCAAGGATGAACATTTCCACGTATAAAATAAGTAAAATATCCAAAAACTTTTACCTCTAAATATCTATTATATTATAAACGTCACCAACGAATTCATACCGCAAAACTTATAATGGTTACAAATACTTAGTGTCAAATATTTAAATTATTTCCATGCACGTTTACTTCACTGAAACGTATACCAAATTGCTACAAACATATAATTCACAAAATAACTATCATTTAATTTAAATATAATTAAAAACCATGTACACGTCGACTTATTTTTACTTAAAAAAAATCCCAGAATTGCACAAAAATGGCATTGCGCACACTCTTCACTATATCCATGTACACTCGCTTTTTTCTCATAAATTAGAAAAATTTCACGAAAATGCATGAAAATTTTTGTGAATCTTTGAAGTCGGTAAAAAGGACATATATGAAATTACCTGATCGCAAAAAAGTATGTATACTATGCAAGCTTTTATACCTTCAGCTTGCATATACCCTTTCCAAAGATGAACATTTGCACCTATAAAATAAATAAAATATCTGAAAACTTTTACCTCTAAATTATCTATTATAACGTCACCAACGAATTTATACACAAACATTAAAAATGTTTGCAAATACTTAGTGTCAAATATTTAAATTATTTCCATGCACGTTTACTTCACTGAAACATATACCAAATTGTACAAACATATAATTCACAAATAACTATCATTAATTAATTAAAAAACACACTACTAAATATAAATAAGCACATACATTTAAATTAATAAAATTAGCTTACAATCCTAATAACTTTAAACTAAATCATTGCTAATAACAATTTTCCAATAATACCATATTAATTTATTTACTCCTTACATTCAGAACAATACATAAAAATAATATCCTCAAATAATTAAAAATACTAACTTACTTAATCTTCTTCAGAATCTTGATTACGTGGCGGATAAACTTTTCTTATTGATTCAATAAAATTATTGAATGATTTTTTCTGCAAATTTTTCCGCCATACTTCCTCCGCTAAATAAAAAGCAGAATTCTCTTTATCATAATGCTTCGGAATGGCGCTTTTTATAGTACTCCACATGCCCTCTATTGTATTCGTATGTGTGCCTGTTTCAGGATCTTTAAAATGATACTTATGGTTCACAGCAAGATGTTGAAAACCTTCATCCTCCAAACAGGCATATGACTTCAAGCAATCAGATATTATTATTGTACCAGATAGAATATACTGCTTTAATAAAACTTAATAAGCAATCTTTACTTCTATCTCGCACAACCTTAAAAAAACACTTAATACTACCTCTTTCAATCCCACTAGATACCCATTTCGAATTCACTTTAGATACGGCCATGGGATCCAAAAATTAACCAACACTGTTTCACACAACACAGAATGAAGCGAAATACAAAATGCTATAAAGTACTGCAGATATTTTTCCAGATTTCCCCACTTTTCTGATTAAAGAACTGTAATTCGTCCATTAATGTCACATGACATATCTCATGATCTCTCATTTCCCTCACACAAAATAATGTGTAATCGGAACTGAGTACTTCTCACATTATTCCCAAAGTCCTAGGTAGTAACCTTTATCGCCTACCAAAATGTCGCCAAACTACCTGTTACCATATTCCGAAGATTAGCCGTGTTTATTTTTATCACGCGTTTTGGACAAAATATGTGTAATTGTAACAAATAATTTCATTGTAATACAGTAAATAAAACAAGAATTTTGCTGAAAGAGTTAATTGCCTTTTCCTGCCTTTAAAAGAGTTAACGGTGGCGACTAGGTCTAGCGTGGCTGCTCTTATATGAAGTCGTCGGTTTCAGCTCAGTATTCAGGGTTACCATAAGTTTTCAATTATCCCACCCAAACGTCGTCAAAAACAATTCCAAAAGTCACCAAAATGGGCTAATACTAAAGCTGTGCCAATCCAGATTATTTCCTCAGAAAATCTTATTGTGTACTAAAACACGGTATTTACAGTAAATAGTATAGAAAATTTTCTCAATACTTTTGAAAAATGATAAGAAATATTTAAAATAAACTTTTTCTCTATTCTTGTTCAGTAAAGAAAAGTATTTACCATTAATGATGTAAACAAATTAGTGCTTTCAGTTAATTTTTGGATCTACACTACAATATTTTAATTTATGCATATAAATTACGCAGCATGTTGAAGTGGTCTATGTAGCAAATCTTATAGATTTAATTCACGAGAACACTATGAAAAAGTCCATACGAGTTATAGTAATTTTAAAAGTTACTGACTAAACATTAAAATATCTATGCTTGCTATACTAAATATTACAAAAATACACCTGAAGTTATTTAATTTATTATTAATTATTTATTTTATTAAATGTGGGAATTTCAACTTTGATGAGAAAACAAAAAATTTCAATCTGTAGTGTTGAATATCTCATAAAACAGTACATTTTCCATCTTTGTAATATTTGCAAAATGCTGTGGAATGTGAAGTCCAGTGTAAAAGATTTAAATTAGGAGAGAGGTAAAGGAAATGAAAGCCCATAAAGTTTTTTTAATAAGAAAAACAGTCTACACCCTTTCAATCAGCCTACGCATATACTGCTTTAAACACTTTTTTCGTAAGATGATTTCTTGATAAGCAATTGTTGTTCAAGTCATATTTCTTTAAATGACTTGTGGAAACAAGCAAAAGGTCTATTATTTATTTTAATCAAATGAAAATTTACATACCTCATACAGGATCAGTAGAAGGCTGTATGCCACTGGTCACAATCTCTGCTAATCCTTTATCTCTGCTAATCTTAATTTTGCCACTGATTGCCTCTCTAACCTCTAAGAATCTTGCTGCTCCTCAATTCTATCATCCAGTGTGACTAAACCAGCCTTGGTATCGCACAATAAGGTTTCTGTGCAGCATGGGAAAGTTTTTACTGCATTGGTAAATTAATCTTGTTACAGCTTAAATGACAAGAAGTTTCTCTTCAAGAAGTATAGATAAACATTTGTTTCTTAACATTCTTTGTCTGTCCATCTGATTGGTTATATAACTCGTAAGATTTTATCTCCTAAATGGATATGCATATTTTAAGCACCCCTTAGTATAAGGTTTCTCTGCTGTGTTAACATATATCTGCTTATTTTAATTATATTTTTGACTAAATGCCTTCGTACATGATTCACAGTAAGGTTCCTCTACTGTGTGAATAAACATATACCTGTTTAAATGACTCTTTTGATTAAATTTCTTCTTACATATTTCACACGTACGAGATTTCTCTCCTGTGTGAACAAGCATATGCCTGTTTAAATGACCCTTCTGATTAAATGATTTCTTACATATTTCACACATATAAGGCTTCTCCCCAGTGTGAACAAGCATATGGTTGTTTAAATGACACTTTTGATTAAATGACTTCTTACATACTTCACACACATGAGGTTTTTCTCCTGTGTGGATAAGTATATGCAGGTTTAAACTACTCTTATCACTAAATGACTTTGTACATACATCACACATATGAGGCTTCTCTCCTGCATGAATAAGCATATGCTTGTTTAAACTACTCTTTTGCGTAAATGACTTTTGACATATTTCACAAATATGACGTTTGTGTCCTGCGTGAATAAGAATATGTTTGTCTAAACTATTCTTATGACTAAATGATGTCTTACACACATGACACACATGAGGTTTCTCTCCTGTGTGAATAAGCATATGGTTGTTTAAATGATACTTTTTACTAAATGACTTCTTACATACTTCACACACATGAGGTTTTTCTCCCGTGTGAATAAGCATATGCTTGTTTAAATTATCCTTTTGTCTAAATAATTTGCTACAAACTTCACACACATGAGGTTTCTCTCCTGTGTGAATAAGCATATGCTTGTTTAAATTATCCTTTTGTCTAAATGACTTGTCACAAACTTCACACACATGAGGTTTCTCTCCTGTGTGAATAAGCATATGCTTGTTTAAATTATCCTTTTGACTAAATGACTTGTTGCAAACTTCACACACATGAGGTTTCTGTCCTGTGTGAATAAGCATATGCTTGTTTAAATGGCTCTTTTGATTAAATGATTTCTTACATACTTCACACATGTGAGGTTTCTCTCCTGTGTGAATAAGCATATGATTGTTTAAATGGCCCTTTTGATTAAACGATCTCTTACATACTTCACACACATGAGGTTTTCCTCCTGTGTGGATGAGCATATGCAGGTTTAAACTACCCTTTTCAGTAAAGGACTCCTTAAACATTTCACACATCTGAGGGTCCTCTCCTGTGTGGATAAGCATATGTGTATCTAAATTAACTTTTTGTCTGAATGTTTGATAACCTTCCTCATAAACATGAGGTTTCTCTATTCTGTGAGTATCCATAATCTCTTCTAAAGTATTTCTTCTTCCAAATGATAGGTTACATACCCATAGACATTTAGTTACTTCCCGACATAGATAGTAAGCTTTGATATTATACAACTTGGCACAATCACCAGGATGTTTTTTATGCTATGCCAGAGATGCAAAATGGGATGTTTAATTGAATTTTATTTAAAGAAGCTCTTGAATACACCACACTGGCTGTCCGTGTCTTCTGCAAATACGATGGTGATAATCTTGACAAAAATATTAATACATATTCTACATTAGATTTAAGTTACTAACTAAGCATGCCTTGACTTTCAGGAACACTTCAGTAAAAACCGATTTGTTACATTTTACACAAATTCGATTTTTCGCTCCATAATAATTATATATACTTATTACGAAAGCCATACATAGTATACAATTCGTCACGATTATGAAGCCTGCAAAGGGTTTACACGATCGATAGAAAGTTCTAAAGAATCTGAATTGATAGAGGTCTGAATTGAAAGCCTAAACTTGAGACAAGTTGACAGATGTCTTGTTTTGCACCCGCTAAGTCTTTCTGCCCCGATGGGCGAAAGATTTTTCCTTGGTGATAGCCAAGGAAGGCCGATGCTATTCGCACCAGCTGTGCGATTAAGCGGCTTGAGCTATTCGCAACAACATAAACCACGCATGCGCATTGTGTTGTCGGATCCGTCATTTGAACCCAATCATTTGGCGACTTTCAAAAGATTAGAAAAGAAAATGGGTTCCTTTTCTGATATATATATAAAAAGAAGAAACACATTTCCTTTTATTAAAGTATATATAAAAAAGTGCAGATTTTTATGTTCAAAATGTTTATCGTTTTTCTGAACGGTTGAAATAGTTTAAATGACTGATTTAAGGGGGATAAAATCTTGTTTACATTTTTTATACTTCTTAGAATACATTTAGCTTCAAAGATATGTTTTGCACAATCAAGACTTTAACACTAGAAGAGCCAGAGCAGTCATTTTGACTGCTTTCGTCATTTGACCTAAACCCTTTATCTCAAGAAGTCACAAATTTTGGTATTTTCCTAAAATATGTCGAAAATTATTGGTACCAAATATAAATCGAATGAAATTAAAATTAACGGAGATATTATTAGTTATACCTAAAAGCGCCACGAACAGTCATAATGACAGCTTGTAATACTGGGTAGATTTATATGGTATTCTCGCTCAGAAAATATTTTTCTTGGAAAAACAATGGAGGTTATGCAAGAGGAGCATATGGTTGCAATGATATGGATTATGACTTTTTGTGGAATAATACATGGGGTCCTCCTTTTTTTTTCCGAGAAACAATGTCTCGCAATCGTTTTCGAGACATTATGAAATGTCTAAGATTTGACTTGAAGTCAACTAGGACTCAGCGTTTAGAAAGTGATAAGTTGCACTTTTTCCCGATATTTGGAATAAATTATACAGAACTGTGCGATTTCCTATAAACCAGGAGAAAATCTAATTGTGGATGAGCAGTTATTTCCATCCAAAGCCAGGTGTAAGTTTTTACAGTACAGTATATGCCGAATAAACCTGGATAAATTCGGTATCAAATTTTGGATGTTAGTCGATGTATACTCGAAGTATATGTGCAATGTTTTTCCATTATCTTGGAAAAAATACATCGAGAAGTGAAACTGAAAGTCTTCCTTCTGAAAATGTAGTAATGCGTCTTTCTAAGCCATTATCTGAATTCAGGGCGAAATTTGACAACGGACAATTATTTTTCCTCACTATCATTAGTTAGAAGACTTAAAATGAAAAACACAAGTTTTGTCGGCACAGTAAGAAGACATCGACAAGAAATTCCGCATGAAGTAAGGAAATCAAAAACCCGGCTATTTGAAACAGTTTTGATAAAGAATGCTGAAATTACGCTCACTGCCTATCAGGGAAAAGAGAATAAAAATGTCCTACTACTAAGTACGTTACATCCAAAGTGTAAATATAGACTCACAAAATAAGAAAAAGCTTCCAGAAACAGTAGAGTTCTACAACAAAACCAAATGTGGAGTTGATATCGTTGACAAGATGACACGTAAATATTCTGTTCGAGCTGCTTCACGTAGATGGCCTGTGCATGTTTTCTATAATATGCTGGATTTAGCAGGGACGAATGCCTACATTATCTACCATAAATTGAGTGATAAAAATATTACAAAGCATGACTTCCTATTTCAATTAGCAGACGAATTAAGAGAGCTTTATTTAAACAGAAGAAAAACCGCAAAATTGCCCCAAGAAATTTCCAAATCTAGCAATAGACTCTCGAAGAAAAGACATCAATGCCAGATTAGACTTTGTAAGAACAACAAAACAAGTGATGTGTGTAAAAAATGTTCATATTATGTGTGTGAAAAATGCACTTCCAATATTGAAAAAGTCGTGTTTTGTAAAAATTGCGAAAAGCTGTAAAATGTGTTTTATTAAGGGTAGGCTGAAATTTATAATAAATATCCTCTATTCTTTATTAAAATAATCTGTTATTCTTTAAAGTTCTTCAACAACTGTAATTAATATTCTTAAAAGCATTATAAAGCATTTACATTTGAATATATACATTAATTCGTTGAGCAGTCAATTTGACTTCCGTTGGCGCTTCTAGTTAGGGAGATAGCTTGGCGCTTCTAGTGTTAATTAATTCCTCTTAGAAAATTTTCGTCTGAGAAAAGATAATAAAAATTAGACAGAGGATTTCAGTCTAGAAAATTTAGACATGAAATAAGCTAAAGACGTAAGGCCCGTCTACACGTACTGATTTTATCGGCCGACTTTCTCGTACGATTTTATCTGCGAGAGCTTGCTTGTCTACACGCAACGATTTTGTCGTCGGTACAAGAAATGCCTTAACCAATCACTGTCCGAGGAAGAATTCCCGCCCTATGTAGCGTCACACTATCAACAACTGTGAAAACGAAACTGTGGGGGAGTGAATTTAGGCGACAATAATAAAAATGGATGAAGATTTCCCGTTAATTGCTACTGTAGCAACATCTGCGATTTTGATCTTCGCTGCTGCTGCTGCAGAAGAAGAAAAAAGAAAGCGTATTTGGACGAGAAATTGGGTGAAACGCAGAGAAATTCATGGAGCCCATAATACCCTGTTCCAAGAGCTGCGTTTTGAAGACAGGGTGGAATTTGGAAAGTATTTGCGAATGATGCCGTGCGATTTTGATTATTTATTAAACTTAGTGAGCAGCAAAATTAAAAAACAGGATACGATTATGCGTTGTGCAATTTCACCATCTGAGAGGCTGCATGTTACTTTACGCTTTCTAGCTGGTGGTAAGTTAATTTTTATTTTATTCGAAAAAATCAATTAATTTTGATAAAATTAATAAATCAAATTCACAAAAATTGAAATACAAATTCAAACAATAATTTTAATCACTATTTTTTAAATCTTGAGAAATTTATAATGAATAAATATCATAATTATATCACTACATCATTTTTAATAAATTTATTTTTAAAGTTTTTTATTATGTTACAGGGTGTTCCTATTCAAATTTACAGTATTTGTTTAGAATACCTAAACAAACATTGTCAAGAGTGATACCAGAAGTATTGGATGCTTTATGGGAATGCATGCAAGATTACATAAAGGTGAGTTAAAACTTAATATATCAATGTTACATATGAGGTCTTATAATTCACAACAACATCATGACCTTTTAATTTAAAAAAAATGTTCATTTTTACATGATCAGGATACTAATTATAATTAAGACACAATAACACGCCGAATAAATACTAATTCAGAAGTTTTTGCGGTTTGCAAAGATGATGGTTTAAAACCATCGTTTGAAAATTTGTAGGTATAACGCTGATTTTTGTTGTTTGACTTCTGAATTACTAATTATAAGTTGAATTTTTCTCAAATTTGTAATATTGAATTAACAACTTCGGAGCTTGTTTTCCTTGAAATGTGATTCATTTAAAAAGAGTATTACAGGAGTGCAATATATAATTTTCTATTTAGAATTAAGAGCCCCACCAGTGGTTGAGTGGTTAAGACAACTGAATACTGGTAGTTCGACCTGGCTTGGGTTCCGTCCCAGGCGAACAGGTTGGCTGCATGGTTGGTTTTTGTGGTTACCCCATGTGTAACATAAATATGAGCCAGTTTCCCTTAGAAAGGCCTCTACGAAGGTATCCCTCCTCTTACGCAGATAGTCCTCGAGGCTTTGCGATATTTAAATTTAAGTAACCTATTTACAATTAAAGTCATAAAATAGTTGCATTGGGGTATCTGGATAACGGATAACTTTGAGTTTTTTCTTTTTAAGTACTAGCAGAGAGAGATTTAGTATAGCAATTGGAATTTCATTACTCATGTAACATTCCCTTGAAAATGTTATGCAAACACCGTACTGATGAAATGTCTCTCCAAGTTATATTTTACACTAACCATTATACTTCACTTCAGTTGCATAAGCATGCACTTTTTACCATGTAATAAATCAGGGCTTTTTAAACTTTTTTGATTGACACTTGATTTTATGGTGGTTAGAGATGAAAATGTCTCTCACTAATATGTTGCAGAAAAAGGTAAAAGTTTATGGCAGTTTCAGAAATTGTTGGAAATCTTTTGCAATTGCTAGCCAAAAATCTTCTGAAGACTTCGTATTAAAGATAAAGTTTCAATCCCGAATTATTTGATAAATCAGCAAGTTCTTGTGATTTTAATGGCAAATGAGTAATATTTTCCACATTAATTCTAAATAGTTTCACAATCCATATTAGTTCTTTGACACTAAAATTTGAAGGGAAATATTTCTTAAAGTTTTTCTCAAGACATCGAAGATGTTCATTTATCATTTTTTTCAACAAGTCATCTTTTTGATTTATCTATTTCATCATTTTCATTTAAAAATTCAGTTGTTGCGACAAACATTTCTAACAAACCCTTTTCCATCATAGTTTTTTCCATATGGTCATTTTCTTAATAAAGCATCAATTTTTAATTTGAATATGACTATGTTGCAACCTTTTTCTTGAAACGACAAATTTAGATCATTTAGTTTTTCAAATATGTCACTCAAATAACGCAGCTTTTGTAGCCATAACTTATTATGAATTAAAATTCGCAAAATCAGATTTTTGTTCAGTTAGAAAGAGAACTTTATGTATTGCCTTATCTTTATCTATTTTCAGATACATTGTGTAAAAATATTTGGTAATTGTAAAATTATTAGGAATAAGTTAAAGGATTATCAAAAACTGCTAAAATGTTTTGGCGACCTCCATGGGGGTCGCGACCAACAGTTTAAGAAAATAATTTTAAGTTATAAATGAAATTGTTTTTCCCACTCAACATTAAAATATCTCGTCAGCTTCTTAAAATTTTAAAATTGTTTTGCAGGCACCAGTTTGTTGGTCCATGCTCTAGATTATAATTTGACTCAAATTCTAGAATGAACCATTTTCAATGTGAGTGTTAGTCTGTCGTAATGTTGTCTATGCTTTTCAGTATATTTAAATAAAATTTTAATTTATAAGAAGAGATATGATTATTTGATTTTGGAAAAATCATAATAAACATTGAATAAACATAATAAACATTGTTTTATAATTAGGGAGGCATCTAGCAATAGAATGTAGGAACTGCAGAGATTGCATTGGACAGCAAATTGACAACCTAGTATCAACCCTGTATAAAACACATAATGAATCTGCTAAATTGACCACCTATGGGTTCATCCAAAATTCTTCAATAGACACTTTTAGTTTTGAGTTTTCTTCAAATTAAGAAGCATATATATTCAGTTATAAAATGTTTAAACCTGTTGTTTAAATGAAAATTCTGTTTCTGTGTACAAACAAGCATTTAATCATTTATTTTCCAAAAATTATCAGTTTTTCTGTCTGTACGGGTATTGTGATCAAAAACATTCATTTAACCACAGTCACTTAGCTTTAATTCCATTTATTGTATCTGACACATTCATTACTTTAAATAGAATCTATGGTGTAGCTTAATCAAAAACAAGAGAGAAAAAATGGGAAAAATTAGATAAAAAGTGAAACATAGGAACACAACCAAAATATTTAAGCACATTTTTTATCTACTTTCCTGATGTGAATTTTATTATAACAAATGAGTAGCTAATATTCATTGATAAAATATTTGATTTTACTATTTGCCAATATTGAAATAGCATTTTCTGCATTTATATTTTGTATTCGCATCCTTTTTTCAGTTTCATAATTAATACTTATTTTCTCATTTCGTAGACACCAAACACTGCTCAGGAGTGGCAAGCCATAGAAGAAGCTTTTGCTGAAAAGTGGAACCTGCCACACTGTGTTGGTGCCATCGATGGAAAACACGTTATGATAAAAGCACCAGCAGGGGATGGCAGCACTTTTTACAATTATAAAAGTTTCAACAGCATTGTGCTGATGGCATCAGTTGATGCAGATTATAAATTTACATTTATTGATGTTGGATGTAATGGACGAATATCAGACGGAGGAGTTTTTGCTCAAACAAGTTTATTTTCGATGCTAGACAATAACTTGCTTGATCTGCCCAGCCCAACACCTTTGATTCCAGGTAGTGAGCCTGTGAATTATTTTATGGTTGCAGATGAGGCGTTTCCTTTGAAATGTTATCTCATGAGGCCATATCCTGGTAAAAAAATCTCTCTCCTTAGCAAAGGATTTTCAATTATCGACTGTCCAGAGCAAGGGGTGTTGTTGAAAATGCATTCGGGATATTATCAAATAGATTTCGTATCTTGATGCAACCAATACAGCTGCCTCCTGCGACAGTTGATAAAATTGTTTCTGTTTCTGTATGTTGCTGTTTGCATAACTTTCTACGAGAAAGACCGTCCAGGCAATTGTATACACACCAAGAGAACTAATCGATCATGAAGATGAGGACTTTAATTTTATACCTGGATCATGGCGAAATGAGGAATCGCTAAGATGAAATCCCTGTGTAAACAAAATGGTTATAACACAGGGTCTGCTGAAGCAAGGCTGATGCGAGAAAAAATTTGTGATTATGTAAATAATGAAGGAAAAGTTGCATGGCAAGATAAACATATAAAATATTATTAATTTCTCAATATATGTTATTCAATATATGTTCCCTGATTTCTCAATAAAAGATAAAGAAATAAAGATTATTTATAATTATTTTATTTTATGTTACAAAATAATGTGGTAAGTAATAAATATATCTAAGTTTCTTAGCTATTCTGTGTTGTTCGTGGAATCTAATACATTTTGTTCTGTCTGTGCATCTGTGAGAATTTGGTACATTTTATATTTTGGGTCTGTGAAGAGTTGAGGGTCACGGATTAAAATTAGTTCGGAACCAACAAAGGAACCGAACTGTGTAAATGTATTTGGAGTAGTGTTTTTTTGATTTTAATATTGTAGAAATTTCTTCTTCAAGTGTTGTTGTGGCTGCTGTGTAAATGTGATCGTGTTTCTGTTTTTTTGTTTGAAGTTGTAGTGTTTGATGTGTGTCTTTTTAGCTGTGGTAGTGTTTGTGTATGACATAGTTCTCTCTGTGTCTCTTCAGTGTCTTCAAAATCGTTGATGTCAAACATCTCCTCAGAATGTCTGGTAACTTCTGCACTTCTTTCTTGTGAAGTAGTATCATTAAAATCCTGAAAATTAAAATAACACTTTAATTTTTACTATTTCAGCTATCATTCATTCATATATAACAAATCAGAATCAATAACTGACGGAGCTACTGCGAAGAGCAATGTTGCCGGTTCCAGAATTAAAGCCCAAGGGCACTTGACATAAAGAAATCCGGACAAGGAGAAAATCTCAGATGAAAAAACAGAGAAAAGGGGAAGAAGAGAAGTACCAAAAGGAGCAAGGCAATCCGATGGGACAAATTCGCAAAACGTGACGAGCGATCATAGCTTTCAAGGAAGACCCAAGACAATGCAAATCAATGACAACAATATGAGAAGATACACTACAGCAAAAGTTCCAATGACAAATTCAAATATAATTAAACAACCTCAATCAATAATGCTAAATACAACACAATACAAAACAACTATACAATACAATTTAAATACAACTATTCAAGCAATACACCACAGCAACTCAACAACAACCTAAGCAACCTATTTACAACACTACTATATCATCACAATGCGAAAAATCTCACAGCATTAGTTTTATCAGTCTCCAAGAATAATATTCAAGCTACAAAAGAACTTCAATCAAAATCAGATGCATTGGAAGTATAAACAGCTACCAATTGAGGAGCTAAGTGAAAAAGTTGTCGTCTCCTACCACGAAGGTATGAGCTGCAAGTGGTCTGACGCTTCTATCTTCGAAGAGAATTTCATAATTAAAGACTTGGGAGTAATAAAAGTCACATTGCTAAGCTTCGTTGAAGAATTTTTCATTAGATCTTCTGATGTAATCTGGAATCGTCTCAAGTTTTAAGTCTCTGTGTAAAAGTTTATTGCGAATAAGGTAGTGTGAACCAGTAATAATGCGCAGAAATTTGTTTTTCACTTCTTGTAATTGATGCAGTTGAGTTTGAGTGACCGTGTTCCAAGCAGAAGCAGCATAACAAAGTATCGGTCAAATGCAAGTGGTATATATATGTTTTTTGGTACGCAAGCTAAGATTTGAATATTTTCCAATGACCGGGAGAAATCTGCATATTATGCCCATGCCTTTGCTCTTGACACTATTAATGTTCGGAAGGGCATCACTACGCCAGCGAATCAAAAGCCAGATAAAGACTGATGTCATGGGACGCCAGACATGCACCTTATAAGAAATAGACTAACCCAGTGGGCGGGGCGCGCGTCACCGACATGTCGGCAAGAAAGAGTAGGGACGATCTGGTTTACTTTAGCACTGAAATCTATGGCGTTGTATCACATAACTCTTTTTAATTATTAAATGTGATACGTTGTATAGTGATGAGATTGTGAAAGCCACAGTTTTTTCCAAATAGGATTTAATATATCTCATTAAAGCACTTTTTACTGCATTTCGCGCGTTTTTTTCATGCGTAATTCTTGTACAAACATCTTTATTTTGGTAAAACGGTAAAAACTCTAAGCACAAAATGTATGAACTTAATTTTACGTAAAAATAAAGTAAAATTAAATAAGATTGATAGTACGCGATGCTTTGAAATAAATAAGGTAAAATTAAACAAGATCTGATAATTTTTTTTGAAATTTAATGAACATTTTCAGGCAGTGATTTTCTAAACTATAATAACATTACAAAACGATCATATTTATATGATCATTAAATTATTAACACAAAGGGGATAGGGGATTAGTTATTTTAATAATTCATAAAATTCGGAGCATAAAATTTTCTGAGCGTTATGAAGGGGAAAAAAATAAAATAAAATCTAGAAGCACTCTTTTTTTTTAAGTTTTGTGCGTTACCTATATTTATTGAATAGCATGTTCTTCGCCCGTAAACCACATACATTTGAAAACAAATAATCTTTAGAAATATCTTTAGAATTTCCGCACTAGAGATAAAACTGTTATTTTCCGTACAGTGCTTGCTCTGAACTGGTTGAGTTTGTTAAGTTTGTTGTTAAGTTTGTTTGTTAAGTTGAGTTTGTTCGTTAAAGTTTTACAAAATATGAAATAGATTAAAACAAATTCGAAATTCGGCCGTCCAGATGCCTATGTTCGGGTGGAGGATTACATTATTCAAAATTTGATGACTCTAGATACTGTCGTTTTTGTCACAGTGCGAGAAACACACGTGTATTCATGCAGATTCTTCATTATTTAATTTCTTTACATATAATACACGGCGATAATATTTGGTAACAACAATTTGCAAGGAGACACGGACATTTATAGTAAAACAGCGCAAAATGCCGCTTCGAAACTAACAGCCTTTCTAGGCTACCGCCCCTTTGGGCTAATAAATTAAATTAACAGTAAATAAAAAAATCTTATGCAGAACTAAAAATAATAATCACTATAAAATACAAGCAAAATTAATTATTACGGTTAAATACAATTTTAATATTAGAATTAAATGTATAAAAATTTTTAAGGAGTCAAAAGTGTTTATCACTATGATGTATTATGAAATATAATTGAAATAAAATTTCTTTATAGAAATTGTGCTATAATACTCATCTATAATTTTAAAAAAGCAGCACAATTTAGAATTTTAAACAAAACTTTCAAAAATTTTTAAATATTTTAGTACTTTTTACTTATTTACACCAAAAAAAAGCATAAAAATTGCAAGAGAAAATTGCTTGTTTGAAATTTTCTATTAGTTCAGATTTAAAATATTATTTTCTAAATGTAGTAGTTACAGCATAGGAAAAGCTAAAAAAATATCCAGTCCTGAAAGCATGCAGTGGCTTTATAATTATTTGGAACGTTAATTATGCTTGATAAATATGCTAAATTTTTAAAAATCAATCTCAATTTCAAAAATAAAAATATATAGAAATTCTAAATTGTGAAATGAGGCGCTAGAACCAGCTTTTTCTTGACAAATTATACACGTTGCAATAGACAACCAATGTTAAATTTCTGCAAGTCGTCCCTACTCCTCTAGATGTGATCAAGGTGACAGCCGGCAACGCCTCAGATGAGGGAGAAAAACCCGTTTGGGTTAGTCAATTTCTTATAAGGTCCATGACGCCAGAGAAGAACGAATAGTTGCGGTTTAGGTAGCTAAGGACTATGTTTGCATAATGTAGTTAGATAGATATTGTAGCTAGATAAATATTTTTTATTCTTTAAACTTGTACTTGTGTGTAAATAAATCTTTTTGCTTAAGCTTAAATGAAGTGCTCCATTTATGATAAGGTAGCTGTTAATTCATCGGGTAGATGACTTATGAATCTCTTCTGAGCTAGCCATTGTTCGAACGTAACGCCTTACGTAACATAACATTTGTGGCGCCAAGATGGGGGGCGCGATAACAGCTAAAATAAAATTGAAAATGGAGCTTACACAGCTGAAAACTGAACGAAAATGTCTAAGAACTTCCTTTACCACATGTGCAAACAAAATTGATGCAGAACTGAAATCAGATATTCCTGATTTGAAGCTACTTTCGGTTTTGGAACAACAGCTTAGAGACAAGTTTAATCGACTTGAAATTTGCCAAAAGAAAATAACGTTGCTAATTCTACAATCTAAAGAAGCTGAAAAGCTATATGAAGAAGATTTTATTTCGTCTGAGCCTTATAAAGATAAACATTTTGAACTGTGTTCTCAAATCGAAAAGCTGTTGAAGAATCCTTTACCTACTGAATTACCAGAGAAGCGCAAATTTAAACTGCCGAAGATCGAACGAAAGAAATTCAACGGCGAAGCAAAAGAAATTTTGACGTTTTGGAGCTAGTTTTCGAAGATCCATGAAGATCCGACGATTCCAGATGAAGATAAATTCCAGTACCTCCTGCAAGCAGTTATTCTTCAGCCCAAAGCGCACGGGTAGTGGAAAGCTTTTCGGCAACTGCGTCGAATTATCCGAAAGCAATCGCCCAGCTTCGAGAGAGGTTTGGAAGAGAAGACTTACTTGTACAGATATACGTCAGAGATCTTCTAAGCATGGTTATGCGTAATGCAAGCAGTGGACATGTGAAGACAGATCTATCCATTCTCTACGATGATTTAGAAACCAAGATTAGAGCTTTAGAAAGTCTTGGAAGAACGCAAGAGAAGTATGGTGATTTCTTAACGCCTTTAGTTGAATCCTGCCTGCCCGAAGAACTATTAATTGCTTGGGAGAGAAACAGAAATTT